CCCTGGTTCCCATCCCTGGTTGGTGAGGGTTTATCGGGTGATAGAGCAACTGTTACAATTTAGCCCTGGTACAGACTAAATGTAGGCAGTAGGTATGACTAGTATTTTTAAACTTAAAATTTTCAGTAATTTTTATACTCTGTGTTAGGTACTGCTTGCTTGAATTGCTGGTAACAGTAGCTTTATGTGTATATTCAGCAAAAAAAAATTATTTCATTAAAATGAAATTCAAAAGTAGATTCTAATGAGTTCGATGGTATTGTATTGCATTACAGGAAATTAATTAGTTACATGTTTGTCCCTCCTTTGTCAGAAATTACTTCAGAGAAAACACTGCCTTGTCAGAGAATGCAGGGTGCTCTTGGCCATGTTTAGTAGCAGCCTTTCAAAATTTGGGAAGTTCTTATTTTCAGCTATATAAGTTCCTAGGAACGAGCATGAATGTATGCTGATGTGACTGCAGAGTCTAAGGGGATAGATGACTATAAATGTGAATTTATTTAAATAAAGTTTGTGTTGATGTGCTTGGTTTGAGGACAGTCAGACATATAATTCAGTCATTGGAGACTGGATAAATGAATTACTGCATCTGGGTATCAGCACTCTCCAATACTGAGTATTCAAGTGAGGATGTTCTCTGTGTTATGTCACATGCACAGTACTGGACATGACAAAACTGCGGTCTGTAGCAAAGTGATTGCTGCAGAACCAAGTGTTGGGCTTTATAGAGCTGTATGAATATAGAGAGGTAACACTTTAATTCTAGCCTCTGTGCAGATTTTTGCTGCTAATTGTCAGCAGAGGGCTCTTGAAGATACATTTCTAGGGCTCCTTCAAAACTCCTGTAAAAGCTTATGTCTACAGGACTTGGCCTATTACTGAATCTTCTAGACCAATTCTAGCTTACGGTGAACATCATATGGTACACCCATTCAAAATGCAAGTGCATTTTTGTGCGTAACAGGCACAACTGGGCTTGGTAAGATAGTTATGGGCATTGTTTAAACACCAGGACTGTTGCTTACATGTGCTGATGTGCATACGAGTAAGGATAGTGTGTGACTTTCTCACTAACAGCATAGTGCAGATTTTTGAACAATCGTAAGCTTCTGTTTGAAAACTGAGTTCACGTGAGCTTTGAAACAAAGGAATGCAATACATGTCAAGTATCTTGTTGGCTGTGTTTTCACTTGCTTTTTGAAAATGGAACCACAGTCTAGATAATAGGTAATGAAAGATGCTTCTTCCTATCTCTAATGTAATTGTTCTCAGGTACCCTTCAGAGTTCTCCGTCTGGATTTAATAATCATAGTGATCTCTGGAAAGTGGCAAAGTGGCTTCATTTAACAAACGGGGTGGAAAGATGCCTTCAGTGCATCCATGTCACATGCAACTAAAAAAAAAACCCACCCACCGCCAAAAAAACCCCCAACCCAAAATGACAAAAAGCTCGTAATCCTGTTCATGTTGGGAAGGTCCTGGATTTTTAAGCAAATATTCACCATCTGTGTATCAGCCTCTCACTTTCTTTAGAGTAAAGCTGCTTTTTTTTTTTTTTTTTTCCTCACAGCATCTCTACTTAGTGGTCAATAACTGCAATAATTTTTTTGACTTTTCAGTCTGGAAAATTTAAATGTAAGCCAAAATTCCCATTTAACTTTATAGTGGAGGCAGAAGTACATGTTGAATAAAGCAAATAATGTAGCTGAATATAATTTTTCCTGGTTTGCTTTTCAATTTTGCAGAACATCGACAAGGTGGTATTTGTTGGCAACTTTCTCAGAATTAATATGATTTCTATGAAGGTGCTAGCATATGCTATGGATTATTGGTCCAAGGGACAGCTGAAAGCTCTGTTTTTGGAACATGAGGTAAGGAAATACATGTTGAACTTTTATTTGTAAATACAAAAATCCTGTGGTTCTTGACTTGGTGAAGTTAACAGGGAGAATTTCAATGCTGTTGCTTTAAAGTGAATGGACAAACTTAAGTTCTGCATAAATATAATTTAATTACAAATTTATTTGAAAATACCCCTTGTTAACTCCCTGGCTTGATCACTAATCTTGTATTTGTTGCTAAACATTGAACATCTCTTATTTTTACTTTCTGTCCCCAGTACCAGCAATGTTCATTTGCATGGTCTGGTATATAAATGTCAACTAGAATTAATTTTTGTAAGCACAATTTTGAGCTCTGACTGTCAGATGGATGTGTTCATAATGGAAACTGCCCTGCCTCAGTACAGCATCATTACAGTGGTTTTGTGATTTCTTCTTTCTTGACAATTTTTGAGATCAGTGTAAGATTTCTCCTGTTATAAGGTCCTTTCGTGGGCCTGAACAAGATCATATTAAATCACAATTCAGATACAGCAAATACAATTGCCTTAACGGAACTGAAGATTTTACATGCTTTTGCTTATGTCTTATTTTGGAATTTGTTTGATTTTGTTTTGTTTTACTTTTACTGTGTTTAAAGGGTTATTTTGGAGCTGTTGGGGCTCTTCTAGAATTGCTTAAAATGACAGATGATCAGTGATGAAGCTATCTGAAGAGATTCCTACTGCAGATGCTGCTGGATAAGAGTGAAAGCCACTACAAGGATGGAAATGAAGCCATTATGGTAGTTATACCTGCTGGATTTGTAAATAATTTAAAATCCTTTTAGCTGATCTTTAACTTCTGGGTTTTGAGCTTATACTTCAGACTTCATACTGGGAATAATGAGGTGGGGTTTTTTTTCTGTACACTGTATTTTTTAGGGGAAAAAAATGTGCGAAGTGGCCAAACAAAACAGATTTTATGGGTTTATTTTAAAAAGTGGATACTGTTTAATGTAGGACCTGTGATATGAGGCATCTGCTTTTCTTCTGGGGTTTACTGATTAGTGTGGTAATCTTAACTTCATTTAGTAATCACTCTAGGAGATTTTTTTATCTTATTTTCATGACGTTTCATGATTTGTTCTTGGTTTCAAATGAAACTACAAAGCTAATGCATTTTACTGTGAAAACTAGTCACTGATTTTTTTTTTTTTTGCCTTTCCTCATTAGATGAGAAACTTTTATTTAACATCCTCTGCCCCCTCAAGAAAATAAAATTACAAGCTTTCTGTGACTACATGGGTTTCTTGGCAAGACTGTAAGAAAACTTGGTGGGGGCAGGGGGTTTAAGATCATAATTTTTCAGGAGTCATGACTTCCAACAGGAAGAGACTGCTAACTGGTTTTGCAGGACTAATTCTCCTCTATATTAAAAATTTTTAAACGAGATGCGAAACAAAATTTTAATTATTGGCTTGACACTGAAATGAAATCCTGTTTCTATTCAACATCTCTGATCTATATGAAGAGTTCTGTAGTACAGATGTTATTTATGTGGTACATATTTGATGTTAGATGACAAAAGAAGGTTATTTTCATTTATTTGAAGACTTTTCTGTAGTCTGCAATTTTTGACTTGATCTTAATCAAAAACAACTGATAACTGCATTATTCAAAGTCCAGTTTCTAAAGTTAGAAAAATACTGACTGATGTATTTTCTGATTTTAAACTAATGTTAACTTTCCCTCCAGGATAAGCTTTGAATGTTTATTCCAGTAAAGTATTTTCTTCCCTTTTTTTGATTTGTGGACCTCTCTATTTTTTTTCAGTTGAATTGAGACCCCTTTGAAATCTATGTACTTAGTTTATATGTGCTATGCAACAACCTTGCTTTTCTTAGACACCATGAGGGCTCATAAATCAGAGGCTGAAAACCAGTCCATAAATTATCTTGTCTTGCAAAACTGTATGTGGTTACATAATGTAAAGGGCTCATCAGAGGGACACTATGAAATTCAGACACGTGTATTATCCAATATATTTTTGGAATGGGGTTTATTTCACTTTTTTGATAGTCATTAATTTCCGTTTCTCCCAAATGTTGAAATAAATTAATATTAACTGAAGTGTGAACTTGTCTGATGGAAATAAAGACCACTACTGTTTTGACTGTTTTAGTGTATTTGTGGAATTCATTTCTTGAAATCAATAGCGTGGAACACATAGTCACACGTATGACGAAACAGTGCTAGTTTTTTCCATGATAGTTCTTTGGTTCTTGGTTTTTCTTTTTAACTTTACATTGCTTTGGTCTTTGAAGCTTTTTGCCTACTTGAACTTGACTTTTTCATAAACTGTGAACTACAACATGAGACGATTAGCATGTTGTAGTTGATATTTCATGTAATATTGAGATTGAGATAAGTGGGGATAGTTCTGCTCGGTGCCTCTGAAACTTTCATTAAGCTTATTCGCTAAGTTTTGCTTGCAGCTAAACATTAGTTTGTACGTTTGTTGTGGTTTGTTGTGGGTTTTTTTTCCCAAGGAAGACTTCAGAATGCTGAGGTAACTGCACTTCTTATAATAAACAGTAGAGGGAAGCATAATATCGACAATGTAGATAATGCTTTGCTAAAGTGGTGGGTCTCAGGGCAATTTGTGGGGCTGGTTTGTTTATTTTGTAGAAAGACTCAATCTTTTTCTCCCTGGTCAATTTTTAAAGGGAATGTGATATGGGAATGTCTACCACTTAGGTGGTGTTGCATTGTTAGCATTTATAGTTATGTGAAGGAAGAATATAATATTAAGTAAACAAATATGAAATAGCACTTCTTTTATGGTTAAAATCCTCTAGCCCTAAAAAAAAAAATTGAATCCCTAGCAAGTAGCAAGTCATTCAGGAAAATATATATGGACTGTGCAAGATGCACAAATTGAGACTGTGTGGTTGAAGAAGGAAAGTGCAGTTCTGGTAGCCCTACTATTAGCTGTAAGATTTCGGGGACTGTCAGAGAAGTTGATCACAGCAGTTCTAAGAGAAGCACAAAATAAAACTTTGCAAATCAGCATTTTGAAGTTAATTTAAAATGTTTAATAGGTAAGTGCTGTAGTTAAAAGACTGGAAAAAATACTCTGAAGTGTATACTACATTTCGTTGGGAAAAGTGTTAGCAGACTAAATTAAGAGTTATGAGAAGTCACTAAGTAGGAGAAATTAGAGGATCCTAGTGTAAGAGGAAAACTATGTTGTAAGTTAAATTCTTTTTTTCCTGAGGGAGAAAAGTCTACTGCAAAAGTATTTCTTTGTTACCTTGAAATCTATAGTTGACTTATTTTTTTTTTCCTCCTTCCCCACCAGCACCATATAAATCTGCTAGTACTGTAATTTACCTTTAGGCTTTGCCTGCTTTCACTAGTCCAAACTTTTGTTTTCCTCCTGTATACCTCCTCCATAATTATTAAGGTAACAGATAAATGACAGTGTGATTGATTTCTAGCACTGTTCCAATATTTTTGCCATGAGGGGGAGCACTTTGGGGCAGTTCTAAGAGCATGACTGATATCTTTAATTTTTCTGATGGTGTTTTGTGTCCAGTTGCTGTCTACAGTCATCAGATGGGAGGGTTCTTTGCCCTGCTTCATCATCCAGAGGTATCTAAAGAGTCTGAAAACAGTCTTACTCGACTACATAGATGAACCTCTACTATAACTGGTACAAACTGGAAATCTGAGCAAGCAAAGCTCTGTTGCACCACTATCAAAGAGTTGTATTGAGAACCTAGAAATACCCAGATCCTTGGATCTTTTTGTTTTGGGAATGGTGACTTCCCTAAGGAGGATCAGTGAGTTTGCAGATTTATGTATTCAAAGCACTTGTTTCAGTATAAATTGATGAAATCTCCTTAACAAGCTAGGCTGTGTTAATCTAGCTTCTTTTTCTGAAGCATGTTAAGGTAAATTATTAAGGTAAATTGGAGCAGAATGAGTGGGATTCCTTGCACTCAATTGTGATGGCGTGAGCCAAGGTCTGCTTCACTTGGACATGACCATTTGTTCTTGTATAAACACGTGCTACTCTCATCATTCTCCCTGCCCTGCCCTCCCCCACCCCCCCTGCCAAGAAATGGCAATTTTTAAGGGTTTTGACAAAAAGTCTATGTTGTGTTGGAAGAAGGGTCTATATTTTAAAGTTTTTGGACTCAATTATTGGGCCGAAGTTGCTAATGCTGGATGAAGAATGAGAGATGACTGAGATGGAGTTTTTAGTTGATCAGATTTGATAGAGAAGACTAGCTTAGGGGCTGTACAAGAATCTAACTTCTAGGGCAATGTGGTGTTTGCAGTGCATTCCAACCTTAGCAAAGCTGTCCTGGTGTTTCACTGTTATCGGTGCTTATGTTCCCGTTAGACTGTCACAAGATACTTGCAAGTGATTTTTGGCAGGACACAGCAGAATTTTAGAGATGGAAAAACCATATGGGGTTGAACTGGTGACAAAATAAACATACATGATTGTTTCCAGTCAGATGGATTCTTCTACTGGGATCTGTTTTTAAAGTACAAGGTGTCTTTGAATTTGGGATTAAATGAAGCACAGGCTATCAGAAAGACTGCAGTCTGTTTTGTCTTGTTACCTCTCAGTACCTGGGAGGTAGAGAACGTCTATCTCAAGGATGTCTTGGAAAACAAGTGCTTATTTAAACCTAAGAACTGAGTCCAGTTTCTGATTCTTTCTAATGCCGATTGGAACTTACTACTTGCGTGACTATTAGTGTGCTTGGAAAAAAAGCTGTAGAGACTGTACGATAAGAGCCTCCCTCTACCACATCCACCCAAAAAATCCCAATAAAAAGAAGCAAAATAAAAATTGTGGTTCTAATTGCAAAGGTTAGGAGAACCTGTCAAGTGCTTTGGAAACTGAGATTCACCTCAGGCAAGGGGAGGTACTGGCACTTGGAGAGATGGAAGAGAAGTGAGTAAGAAAAGCTGAGGCTCACAAGGGGGAAAGCTACTTAGCCTGGGAAAGGGACATGGCAGCATCACCTTTGGAGGTTTCTGGGGGTGACACGGGAAGGGCACTGCAGGGTAAGCAATAAACTAGCTCTTTGTTAGCGCAACCAGTGAGAGATGGGTGGCAGAATGGGTGGTTTGGGTGGTTTGACAATGGCATGCAGCCCTAATTCAATTCAGAGGTGAAGAAAGGGTGCAGCTGGGGGTCTTGAGCTAAAGCAGGCAGTGGTTACCCTGTGTAAAGTACCCAGCACCTCTGCTGAAGCTTAGGTCTCTATCCAGATGCAGATGTGCTTTCTAGTGCAGGCAATAGCCTGGTCTCAAACATTGCTTGTCTTGGTACGTGCAACACACAGTAGGGGACGTGCTGGCCTCTGAATTATATTTTTTTTAACATCAAAAGCAGTTCTATCGTACTGGCAGAAGCACAGCTCTTTTCTGCTGGCCTTCAGCAGTTTGCTCTGTTGCGCGCAGCTGTGCAAAGCATCTGGCTGCAGCAAGGGGTCAGCAGCCTCCTGCAGCTTCCCCCGAGGAAAACTCCCAAGCTGGTCACAAGTGGCAGAGCGGTGTGGGCAGTGGAGACCCTGGAGCAGAGTGCTTTGGTCCTGCATGTTTTACTTCTAAACACTGCAGATGCAACTATGAGGCACCAAGTGAAAGGTATGATTGAAGGCAATGAAGGATGGCAAACGGCCTGAAATGGCATGCTGTGGTGCTTCAAACAGCAATGTGTCACTCCTTGTTCTTAAATGGTTTCTGCTTATTTTGTTGTAATGATCAGGGTGCTTCCAGCTTCAGAAGTGCCTTTCCAAGTTGCCAGCTTTACTGTTATGTAGCTTTTTGGATGGATGACCCGTCCACCTCTCTGCAAACTAAAATTTTTGAGCAAATCTGAACATTGTGTCTAGCACAAAGCAGAAGTTACCCTTTAACAAATGCTGTGATGTACCAAAGCAGCCTTGGCAATGCATGGGCAGAGCTGAGTTTACCACTGTTACTGAAATCTCCATTTATGCCCATCCATGAGGATTTGGCCTCAGCTAACCATGTTACCACTTTCTCACATGATATGTTAGAATTAATTTTTTTCTCCAAGTGGCACACTTTTTTCATTTAATTCTTTGTGAGAGGAACTTTCCCTTGTGAGGGAATACATATTCTTTGCCGCATTGAAAGCATCAAGGAACGACACCTAGAGCGAGACAGAGCCTCATCAAGGACAGTGACTAGTTTGATAATGCAGAAGATTGTCG